AAGGTTGTAGAGTGTTAATCTAATTTATTCTTTAGAAACTCTGATAAGCATCTGTCTAAGTATCTGTCCCCTTGCTCCTCAGCACATACAATGGAGACTGATCTTTAGAAGTCTTGTCCAGCTCTTTTGTTCTGAGGTCTTTGGCTAGTGACTGCAAGGACAGGAGACATCTTTGAGTCTGGCACAGGCTGACAGAACCTCAGAACTGCAGCTGAGCCTGTTGATTTGGAGTTTTGTCCCCCATGTCCTCTGCAGAACACCCAGCAGGTGGTTTGGTGACCTGAGTGCTCTGTTTTTGATCAGACTCACTTCACATAACACTGAAAGTTTGGTCTCTAATTTGCTGTTCTCACGGCTTTCCATAACTCCTGATCCAGCTGGATCCAATCCTTGTCTCAGACTTGGTCAATGGTTTGTGTCTAAAGGATTATACAGGTGTAATTGAACCTTAATATGAGTTAACCCCATAGGATTAAGGATGGCAAACCAAATCTATTTAAATAAATAAAATAAATAAATTCTTTACATTGATAATAATAATTAGGTTAAAATACTTTAATCAGAATTGTTTACCACGATTATAACTACTTGTAAAGTGCAGTAGTTATTAAATAATTTCAAAACTAGTAGAGTAATTAGTAAATAGTGGCTGATGTTACCCACATTGATGACCATGGGTAAATCTCTTTTGCTAAACTTCAAGGAGTAACTGTGAGGGCATCCCCACTCCAGGGAGGAATCTCTACACCCACTGCTTGAAGGGGTGTGTTAGAAGTCCCTGACTTCAAAAAGTGGACTGGGTTTTTATCATATAAAGTGATTGCCTGTCAGATAATTCCAGCCCAGCTGTGTCAGCTCAGCAGCTTTAGATAAGCTATCAGTATTATCACTTGTTGGTTCCTTTGCCAGGAACTTTGCCACATTCTCACCAGTGCTAGTTTCTGTCAGGAAACATTGTTCTCCACATCCTTAGTATTTTTAACTTTAACTTTGGGATTGATGAGCCAGGTTGGCTTCAGCATTCTTCAACACCAAAAGCAGAGTGATCCCCCTCCTTCTCCATCCACCACTGATAACTTTTGCAAGTAGAGTGTTGTTGGAGCTGTTTTAGTCCTGCTTAGGCAGAGCAACCTGCTGCAATTATGGCTTTTATCATTTTCATCTGAGCTATTCTGGTCCCATTTTCCTAAAGACACTCCATGGAGCCCCATCCTTCCTTGCAGCGCTGCCTTCCCTTCAGTTGCAAGCTGTGCAGCACAGCTGAATGCAAATACATGCTATTGTGGGATTTGTCTTGCAAGACTTCACCATGCAGCTGCTTATTTTTGTATGTGGTGCATTTGCAAGGAGTTAGCACTTGTGAAATCAACAGAAAATGGACTAAAACTCCAGGCCCGAAAGAAGAGGTATGCTTGGCTAAGCAGCTCTGCTTCAAAAGTTAAGGTATTGTGTCTCATTGCAGCTCCCACAACCACAGTGAGTCACTGTGTTTATCTCTCTAATGCTGCAATGAGACACCAAATCACCTGTAAAGCAAGTAAGGGCTCTGCTTATTCATCACTTGGTAAAGCCTCTTCTGAATAAAGATAAATAATTATTGACTTCCTCTTGCCTACACCTGACATGAATATTTACACTGGATCACTCAGCAGCTTGGCTGGTTTGTGGTTTGTTTTGTTTTCTTTAAATCCCCATGACATGATGGTTTTGAAAAGCTTTTACAAGCTTCAAGTTTCAGTAGCTCTGACCTTCTGGCAAACACAGTGCAGGGATACTTCAGGAAAGTCTAAATGTCACTGATGCTGGTTTGTAATAAGGAGATGTCAAAATAAACTAGCTGGCCCTTCCTTCTCTTCCAAGATGACCAAGACTGAATGGACATCCCTGGATGAAACACTGGACCGTGAAGTGCTGCTTTTACTTCAGGGGCCTGAATATGCAGGAGAAAAATTTAAGACTATCATGCAAAACCTGGTCAGTGGCAGAAATTATTTGAATAAGGATGTGGTCTTCTTTTAATTAGGAATTCTACAAGCACTGATTAATCAGTTTGTTTGCTTCTTTTGGAAAAAATAAGGATAGTTTTTTTGGGAGTGGAGGACATTAACAATATCACTTGGCACCTAGTCCAATATTGTAACTCAACCTGGGCAGCAGTGTTAGACTGGCAGCAAAAATGCCAGGGTTTGGGGGGGGTTTGGTTTGGGGTTTTTATAGCTGTTTTGGGTTTGTTTTTTTTTCTCCAGCAAGAGGAGGCCTCTGAAGCAGAGAAGCTTGTCATGACTTCATTACAATGGGTGAAAGAGCTTGATGAGAACATACAACAGGCTTGGGAAAGTAAACTTATGGTAAGTAACTGTTTCTCTGAAAATATTTAGTGGAATAGTGGGGCTGTGCAAAAGCTTAAGGTGGTATCTTACTGCTGTAAGCTGTGTATGTTAATTACTTGAGATCATAGCAATCTGTTTGCAAGTCAGAAATGGCTGTATGGAGAGAAATATCTTCTGTTACTTTTCAAGGAGGAAAGGGATGATTGCTTTTCACTATGATCTTCCTGACTTATGTGCAAGAGCTCCCTTTGTTAAAACTATGCTTGAAGGAAAAGGTAGATGAAACAAATCAATTTGAAGAGGAAAAGGGGGTCAGATGACAATGCTACATCGTGTGAGAAATGAGGATTTTGTGCCCTCTGCATGTTGCTGTGTGCCTTGAACCCATTTCCCCTCTATTTCTGACTATGGTACTGGATGGTCTCACCATCAAGATGAGGAGGGACATGGCTTTATAACCAAATTTCCAAATCAAAACCTTTGTAAGGTTTACTATGTTTTGAAAGGCAAAGAATTCTGCTTCTGCTGGACCTACTGCACAGGAAGTTTCCACAAAAATGTGTTTTACAATTTAGTCTTGCATAATGTGTTTATGCTATTCCTCATGCCTCTTGTGAGGCTTGCAAGTAAAGACTTCTGCTCAAGGTAACTGGCAAAAATGTCTTCCCCATGTGATAGCAGGAGCCTGTGGACACAGCTAAACTCTCTTGTTCCCTCCTCCCCTCCCCTGTAACAGCAGTTTCTGGACTCTTCATCTTACTCTCCCTATTGCTAATCTATTGTAAGGAACACTGCTACAGAGAACTCCACCAAACTGCATATTAATGCTCTCTTTCAGCTCCTTAATGGGTGAACAAATCCACAGTTCTTCTCACTTGGGTAATAGTAAGTGGCACTATGGTATGTGCTGCTTGAAGTTGTTAGTTCTTTAAGCAGAAAACAACCTTTCTTTTCCCTTAATGCTGAAAAATGTTGTAGCTGGTCCTCTTCAATTGTTGGAGCAATCGTTGGGATCCATCCACTCCTGGAGTCAGTTTTTAAATTTTTTTTCTGTTTTAGGTAATTCCTGAAAGCTTCCCCTTAGAGAAGGTGGAAGCATCTTGGTCTGCTCCCTTGTGTGACTTTAGGTAGACCCTGTGAAGCTGCAGGCTTTTGAATTGCTGTAGCTTTTTGATCTTGACAAAGAACTTCCTCCTTCAAAGCTGTCACAGCTGAAAAATGCTTGTGAAGTTACATTCACATTGGGATCATATTCCTGTTAAATATGTGAAGTTAAAAACTTTTGGTGTGGGGGTTGGAGTTGATCATGGCAAATGAATCCTTTTCTGACTCCTAGAGAAAGATGTTTGGAAACTAAACTAACTGAGGATCAAGGAAGAACACAATTCATTAAAAATGAAAGGCCCCATGAGGATGGGAAATGATTTCATGCCAAACATACTGGAAGAAGTTTTTTTAGTGTGAGGGTGGTGAGACACTGGCACAGGTTGCCCAGGAGGGTTGTGGATGCCCCAACCTTGGCAGTGTTCAAAGCCAGGTTGGATAAACCCTTGAGCAACCTGGTCTGGTGGGAGGTGTCCCTGCCCAGGGCAGGGGGTTGGGACTAGGTGATCTTTTGAAGATCCATTTGAAGGTCCATTCCAACCCCTTAACATTCTGTGATTGTCTTCACCTACCTAGAACAAGCCAGATATGTGGGAAATTTGGTATATGGAGCTGAACAACAGTAGAACAAAAAAAGAGAGATTCAAAGTAGCTTCTTCTAGCCTTAAAAAAGGCTTTTGTAGACAAATAAATTAAATTGTGGACCATACACTATCACTTGAAGCCTAAACACTTCCCCACTATTTCCTGTGAAATATATGATGGACATGCTTTCTGAGGCTTAGTATTTTCAAATCTATTTTAAGGGCTATTATATGTTAGGTAAATTTTAAGTGTGTTTATGTTTTTGTGCATATATACATATATTTGAGTATATATAGATTGTGACAGCAAAATCTTTCACCCTTCCCCTACTGGAAGATAAGGCTGGCACATGTGCCCTGATAAGGGTGTGACACTTATGGGTCAAGCCCATGTTATTTCCAAGAATAACAGCTGACTGCCTTGGCTGAGAAACTGCTCATCAGGATGTGGCATTTGTGCATGGTCACATCCCATGTCATCCTAGTAAACCTATCGGCCAAAACTGCTCAGGCTCTTTTTTTCTTTTCTTTTTCTATCTTTGTACTTGATGTTTGGTTGGTTGTTTTTGTTTTTGCTTGAAGCTCATGAACAAGATCAGACTCTAACTTGCAAGTAGACGATGTGGTCCATATTTGTAGGATTGATGTGTTCCCTTTCGAACTGGTGTAAATCCCAGAAATATGAACCTCATTCTCTGCTGACCTCTGCTTGACTCTCATTAAGAATTCTTTAAAAGCTAAGGGCACTATTTCACGTGTTCAGTTGAGCAAGGTCATAGAAAGAAGAATCCAGTGCTCTTTCCTCATACTTTATACTGTAAGTCACTCCTCAGAGAAACAGCGAGCGCAGTGTTCCATACTGCTTCAATTTTACCCTTTCCCTGTTTTTCTTCCTACAAACCAGGGGTAAAACTGAAAGCCTTTGCCACAAGGGTCATCCCTGCAGCAGATCACGTATGACAAACTGGAACGTGGATTTATTTGGTCTTGGGTATTTTATTTATTATGTGAACTCAAATTTAGTGCCAGTGGACTTAGCTGTACTTTGAGGAGAAGGTTACAGAAGTCTAAATTATCAGTTTTAGGGCTTCCTGCAAGATGGTCATTATTAAAACTTTCTCTTATGAAATATGTTTTTTGTTGCTGTGCCTGGGCACCTTGTGGTGGAGTATCTTTATTCCTGATAGCATTAGATGATGGTAGATGATGATATTAAATGGAGCAGGGAAATCAATCCTCATGTAAATTAAGGCTCTGGTTTACTCTCTGGCTCTGCTCCTCCTCTAACCACATGGCAACTTGGTTTCAAAATTCCACAGGTTCTCAAGAAAGAACTAGGAGAAAAAACACTTCTTTGGATCCAGAAACTTCAGCTCTTGGAGAAATGCAAAGACTCCCTAGATAAGGATTTTGTTCGAATGGCAGGAAACCTGAGGAGAACCAAGACAGAACAAATTCACCTGAAGAAAGAGCTCTCTGCTAGGTACCCCTTCAAAGCCTGTGTGTCTTTTGGGAGAGGCTTTGGGGTTGGCTATATTGGGTTGGTTGCTTAGCTGTTTACTGGGGTGGGTTGGGTTGAGTTCTTATGTCTTTTGGAACCAAGTTTGCTGAGTTCTGAAGCTTTTTTTTTTTCACAGAAGAAATTATCTTCTGTTGTGGAGGGTGGATTTGGTGTTAGCATAACGTTTACACCCTGTGGGAGTTATAAGGGTTGTGTATGAACTGACATATGATCTTGGAGATATCTTTGAAAACACCAAGGAGACAACAGAGTGAAGTTAAAGCAATAGGGCACTGTCTGTGTAGCAGGTGCAACCATTAAACAAACTGTTGGTTTTGTGTGAAGCAGAAGAGCTGTAAAATATGTGCCTGCAGGTATTATTGCTTTAGGATACAACTGTTATTCCCAGACAATGTGATGTCTCAGATTCCCAGGGGTATAGCTTCAGCAAGTTATCTAATGAAGTGTAAAAATGGAACTTTAGATTCTAGTTTATTGGCACATGGTTCCTCCTATGAGTTTTGATATTACAAATAGAATCACAGAATGGTTTGGCTTGGAAGGGACCTTAAAGATCATCTAGGTCCAAGCCCCTGTTGCAGACAGGGACACCTTACACTAGACCAGGTTGCTCAGAGGTCTATCCAACCTGGCTCTGAACACTGCCAGGGATGAGGCAGCCACAGCCTCCCTGGGCAACCTGTGCCAGTGCCTCACCACCCTCACAGGAGAGAGTTCTTTCCTGGTATTCAATCCAAGTCTACTCTCTGTCAGTTTGAGCAGCAAAAGACAGGAGCTGCAAACCTCTGTCTGCCCTCTCCTTTCCTCAGATGTTCAGGAAAGTACCTAGTCAACTCAGGTTTTGACTGAAGATTAAGCTGAATTTGCTGTCTGTGTGGAACACAGGTCTATGCATAGTGTCAGCCTTCTGCTGTCCTGTGCTAAATGTAAATTTTTGACTGCATGCCTTTAGCTGGGTTTGGGGTGTGAGCAGCTCCCTAGGGTTTGGCAGCCCCAAGAGCTGATGCAGAGCAGTTGTACTGCACTTTTGCCTGACTTGCCTTCCAGTGAGCATTGTTAATGCAGAACTCCTACATGCTCTCCTTTCACTTGGAAAAGAGCTCATAAAAATATTGATGGCTTGGTTTCTTAAAGCTGCCTTTGTATCAAAATTGTTTGTGGTGGTAGCAGCCGAAAAAAAACCCCAAAGAAAGTGAAGATGAGAGAAGAAATGGGCATAGGGTTTCTGCAGTGGAAAAGAAGGGTTTCCTTGAAAGCCATCCCCTTTAGCACTGGTTCTGATGGCATCTGCTTGCTGTCAAACTCTGAAACACTAGGAAATTAATCCCATGAAGTTGTATATCTGCAGTAATAGCTCTGGGGTATCTTTTCCTAGAATGATTGTATCCTATTGCTGTTACTTCTGAACTGTGAGAAAACACATTCTTTTGATTGAATTGCAAAAGTTTGTCCCACTAAACTCTTGCTCTTTGAGAGTTCTCTAGGCATTCCACAAGCTTCTGCTGTGGTACTCAGCCATGTGGGACTGCTTCAGCTGGAGAGAAACCAGGGGAAACCTCCATTCCCTTCCTAATTCAGGAGCTGCTATAATAAAACCAAGGTCCCTGTGTTGAATTGTGCTTAGCAAGGGTTTGAGTCCCTGGTAGAGGATTCTGGGGAAGCTGCAGTATGTCACAGCTGACTGTTGATGCATGTCTCTCAGCCTCCACGTGTCACCCCTGGGCATGGCCACTCTGAAATGTCAGTAACGGGTTGTGGTTTGTGCTCTTGCCCCGCAGGCAACAGAAGATGGAAGCTGTCAAACAGTTACAAGAAGAAACTGCTGGCCAGGCAGAAGCCCTTGGTTTAGAGCTGCAAAAAACTATGAGGCAGCTTGAGGATGCTAGCAGACATGTAAGGGGCAGCCCAGTTCCTTCTCTGTGGGGAAACAAGCAAATGTAGAAGGCTGTGTACAATGCATGGCTGCACTGGGGAAAGGAAATCGTGTGTTCAGAATGGTGTGCCTCACTGCAAAACTGGAACCAGCAGAGGAAGTAAAATTTGAGGGGGTGGTGACAACAGTTTGCTGATGAAAGAGGCAGCATTGCATATTTGTGGTGGCTTAAAAAAAAAAAAAAAAGGAGAAAAAAGCGCCCAAAAATAGCTTCCATACACAGTCCACCCCAACGTAAAAATGCAGAAGTTCAGAGGGAGCTTTATCACTTCCTGAGAAAGAACAGATGCAGTTTGGTTTCATTTGCATGAACTGTAGATGCTCCTTGTGTTAGCTAGGCTGCTTTATTTTTGTTTTATTCCTTCCTTTTTTTTCCCCTAAATATTGTTTTGTGCTCAGGCAGAAGATCAAGTTGAAGCATTTCACTCTGCTTGTGAGGAAAACGCATCCTTGAAGTGCAAGTTGGAGGAAGCCATTTCGGAGCAGGAAAAGCTCAAGGATGTGAATGCAGCTCTAACAACCACTTGCCAGTTGCTTCAGGAAAAAGTGGAACAGCAGAAAAGTGAGTAACTCCTGGCAGTGTGCCAGCATTCACTCTCGCGTGGACAAGTGTTTTAGCTACAGCAAGGGAGGGCAGGACTGATCTGCAGGTCATCCAGTGAAATGTTTGTGGAGCTTTTTTTTTCTTTCTTTCTTTTCTACTTTTCCTTCTCCTTTAAGAGATCTGCAACCATGGCTCTGGGCTGAGAAGCAGGTGGGGTCCCAATGAGTGGGTGTTGGGCTTGACCAAATCTTTAGAACTTCCTAACAAGACCTGCAGTCCCAGGAGGAAGGATCAATAACTCCATGGGTGGCACAGGTACTCCTTTACTGAAGGTGCTGTTTCCACACCTGAACAGCCCACCTTATTCCTAACAAGGTCACCTTTCTGAAGCTTCCCTGTACCAAACAGATCTGATTTTTGTGCATTTTGTTTGCTGCTTGTATTTGCTCTGTGTTAAATAACTGCATGGCATTAGACTGCTCTCCTTGTTGGAAGGCAATCATGTCCCTGCATTGTACACATACAACTTCTACCACAGAGCCATGGAAACTTCATACTACCTCTTAGTCATTTCCTAACACCACTACCTCAAAAGCTTGGGCAACTAAATGATGCAGTGGTTTGATTCCAGCACTTTTTTTTCCTTCCAGACTCTGGAGTCTGATCATTTCCTTATAGAAAAGGAATTTGGCTGACTTAAGCCCACCGAACCTTTGGCCTCAGACATGCATTTCCCAGGGCAACGTGATTGATGCTCTACATGTACATGTGCACTCTAAACAAGTTTATGTGAAACCACAGTTTGTCTTGTAGGAAAATCTACATAGGACCCTATGGCTCAGCTCTGAGGCACAACTGTTATGCACTGATATGGCAGGAACAGCTCCAGACTGTGCTTACCACTTCTGATCAGTACTTTGGCACTGTTCATGTGTGTGTGCTCATGTTGCTTTCATGCTTACTGCTTCCTTCAGACTGTGGAGCTGCTTTTTTTCTCTTAGCAAGAAGCATAACAATGGAAATAATGTGTCATTTTCCAGCTCTGAACAGACAAAGTTCTTCTGCAAAGTGAGCTAGAGTAAGTGAAGAGAGAACCCCAGACATGTGGACTAGTGCCATTGTGACTCTAAAAAATAAAAAAAGAAAAATTAAAAACCCAAACAAAAGCCCCCAAAGAGATCCCCCCCAGAAAACATCACCATGAAAATGGCTGAGACTTTGGCTTTAAATGACTCCAGTTAGTTTGCAGAAATCTTCCTGTAAGAAAAACTGACAGATGTGTAGAGAAGTTGGAAAGTGTTAAGAACAGGGCTGACAAGCAAGGCTGGCCCTGGGGAGGGCAATGGTTTATGTTGGTTCAGACAGGTCTAGTGCCCCTTCTGACTGAAGGTCTGGGTAGTGGCCTCTTCCCCACCTACTCACTTCCCTACTTCTTCCCACTTGCATGGCAAGAGGTGAGAAATTAGGGACAAAAATTGGCTAAGGAAGCTGCTACTCAACCTTTGTCAGCCTGGCACAGCTCCTATGAAAGATATGATTGCGTTATATCAAGGTAGAAATCACCAGAGACAGGTCCTGGCATAACCAAACTTGAACAAAAAAGGCTTCTAAGTATAACATAAAGCCTATTAACTGGACAACTTCAGAGTTTGTTTCCACTGTGGCATCATGACATTAATGATGTTGGGAAGCATTGCCTCCTCTTTATAGCAGGGGGAAATGTAACCACGGAAGAAAGTGACCTGTGTTTTCTCGTTTGCTGTGAAAAGCTGCTAGAGGCATAACTAGACTAATGCAAATTACAATGGGTTCTGATAGGCAGCAGTTAAAGATGCTTAAACATCTCACTACATGTTATTCAGTCGTAAGGAACCCTGTTAGACTTGTAAATGTCTCTTCATAGCAACTGCTAATGTGCTGAGATGGGAACTGCTTCAAAGGCGACTCTGTGAATTGCTGTGTCAGGTATGATGGTTGGTGGGAGAAGGACAGGTAGGCTTGCACGGGAGGTGCTCTGGTGGAAGGACATCCACAGCTAAAATGAGCTGCCAGTAATCTGGCAGCATTGGGTTTCTTCTTTTCCAACACATACACAACTGTGGAGGCAGTAAACTGTATTTACTGTTATTTCCTTTCAGCCTTCTAGGAAAACTGGGCTAGAACTTAGAGGTGTGGTGTTGGTCTTCACTGCACGATTGTTGGTGACCATACCAAACAGGGCTGAGGGAAGCTTTCCCTGATGTGCTGGTGTGATTTGTGTCCCACAATCAGCCTTCTCTTCTGCAGACACACTTGAAAACAGATGTTTAAGATCTTGTCATGTAAGATTTTTTTGGCATCCAGACACTGGAATAGGTAGTGAAACAGTGATTAGCTTTGTGGTCCTCTGTGGTAAAATGCTAGAAATTATGTAACTCTGAAGTGTTTTGCTTTGAATAAAATTACTTGTTTCAACTTTGGAAGGGGGTGGAGGGGGAGACATTGTGGAAAGGCTTTTTTCCCAACTGGATCTAGTAAGGAATGCTATAGCTCAGGGTCTGAACAGTCTGGATTTAACACAGAATAACAATTTAAAAAGAAAACAGAAGATCCTGAAACGTCTCCTAGGCTGTACCAGGGGCATCAGAGGAGCAGAATCCAAACTGTGGGCCAGCTGCGTGTGAATAAAACTCTTGTTTGTGCATGAAGGTCTGCAGAACTAAAGGCTGAAAGTAGCAAGGGAAAATGAGTTTTGCAGTTTTGTAACTGATACCTGTAAATAGTTGAGTTTAAAAGGTGAAATTGCATTTTGTTCAGAATCAGCAGCAGTGTTCCTTCTCCTTTTTTACCTTTTGTGGATTTTTTTTTTTCTGCCTCCGCTCTGCCTTACTCTATTTCTCTGTTGCAACAGTGTTGTGCAGACTTAGAATCTGACTATGATCTGCTGCCCACATCAGCTGAACCCATAAAAGGGAAGGTAAGTGCACTTGCTATGACCATGAGCCTGTTAATATGTGACACTGTTTATTCTTGGGGGGTTTTATGACCTGAAGACAACAAATAACTTTCCTTGTGAGAAACCCTGCCAAGTTAAATGTTTAGTAAAGATAACTTGCTACATGTTTATGTATACATGCATGCACTTGTTCACACACATGCAAAAGGATATTCCAAACCTTATTGCAAAGTCAGTTTCCTATTGCTTCTGAGCAGTGACACAAGATAAACTGCATTTTGAGAAGGATCAGAGGCTGAAGATGGTGCTGCATCTTTCAATTTCTTTTCCAATTTTCATCACTTAAACAGCATTAGGTCAAATGCAGCTGTACCTGTAGCTCTGAAGTTTTCTCTAGCCATCTTCAGATGACAGACACTTCTTAACTCTAAGCAGCAAGGACATGGTGTGACTTTAGGGGCAGGAGGTGGTGGGGCACTGCTCTGTCTCCATGCAGCCAAGCTGGAGCTGCCCTGCTGCCTGTGTAGCAGCTCTGGATGCTGGATGAATGTTCCTCTTACCAGCCAAGCCAACCAGACAGGTTGAGATAGTTCTGGTTTGGGGTTTTTTCCCTTCTTTTTTCCCCCTTTCACAGGGTTTGGGTGGCTTCTTTGATTCTCCTGTTCAGGTCTCCTTGCCTGGTTTTGTAGTAGTCTAGTTCCAGACCTAGCTTGAACTAACACATTGTTTGCAAGTGTAAAGTTAAGTGATTCTACCTCCTTCTGTACCTGCTCTGCCCATTAAAGATGCAACTCTTCTGCTTTTCTGGACAAAGAAGCAACAGATGATGTATCTGTGTAACTGTTAGTAGTACATTATGCAGATTCGTGTGTGTGTGGGGAGTTGGTGGCATTAATGTATTCAGTGTGGTTGAACAGCAGCACTTCTTATTTTTCATTTAGCAGCTCCGTTGCTCTGAACAGCCACAGGGCCAAGGACACACCCTGTATGCTGAACTTCCCTGGGCGCTGCCTTCGGATCTTTCCTACTGGCATAATTCCCTTCTGCTAGGTAAGACCTGGTGGTGGTGGTCACTTTTCTGTCTCTGTCCTGAAATACAGGAAGTGTTGATGGAACACCCTCAATAGTGCTAAACATGCTGGTAGTATGGAAAATTTATTGTGGCATTTAACCTATTTCTGCATGTAATCCAGGAGGCTGAAACATATTTATAATGCTTGCAATAAAAGGCCTGAAAAGGTGCTGTGTGTCAGCTTAACATGAGTGCCCAAAAGCTTAAGGAACTATTGGTATAAATCGTACATCTAAGTATATTCCTGACAAGATGCTTGCCAGTCTAGATCAAGAGGGCTTGAGTTTTGTTCTTCCCATTCCCTCTGACTAGCAGACACTGAGAAAGCAAGTGATGTCCTGATACTTTGCCACTGAGCTGAGGTCAGTTCTGGTTGAAAAATTTGAACAGGTAACATAGCTACTGAGAATGAAATCATAGAATCACAGAATGTTATGGGGTTGGAATGGACCTTACAGAACATCTAGTTCCAACCCCCTGCCATGGGCAGGGGCACCTTCCACTAGACCAGGTTGCTCGGAGCCATATCCACACTGGCATTGAACTTTTCAAGGGATGGGGCATCCACAACATTTCTGTGCCAGGGCCTCACCACCCTCACACAATTTCTTCCGTATAATTAGCCTAAACTTCCCCTCTTTCAGTTTGAAAGCCATTCCCCCTTGTCCTACAACTACCGTTCCTCATGAAGTGTCCCTCTCTGCCTTCCCTGTAGACCCCTTCAGATTCTGGCAGGTTGCTATGAGGTCTCCACACAACCTTCTCTCCTCCAGGCTGAACAGCCCCAACTTTCTCAGCAAATTCTGTTTGATTTCTCCTGCATCTTTAAGGTGTTTTTACTTCCCTGCCACTCCCAAGCCTTATGAGTATTAAAAGCAACCACTGACATATCCAATGCAGGGTTGCAGAACTGCAGAGTGCACTTGGGATTTCACAGGCAAAGTGTTTATTCCAGCAGTAAACTGGTATGACACAGGCTTTTCTCACCCAAACTGTAAAATGCTTAAATGT